TCCTTCCGCCTCAGCCTTCCGAGTAGCCGGAATTACAGGCATGCGCTACCATGCCCAGCTGATTTTTGGATTTATTGTAGAGATGAGGTCTCGCTGCCCAGGCGGGTCTCGAACCCACGGGCTCAGGCAATCCACTCACCTCAGCCTCCCAAAGGCGCGGGATTACCGGCTGAGCCACCAAGCCCGGCTTTTTTTTTTTTTGAGTTGGGAGTCTCCTCTGTCACCCAGACTGGAGTGCAGTGGCCGCTCCCGGCCACCACGGCCTCGACCTACTGGGCTCCAGTGATCCTTCCGCCTCAGCCCTCCGAGTAGCCGGAACTACAGGCGCGTGCTACCACATCCCGCTAATTTTTTTTTTTTTTATTTATTGTAGAGATGAGGTCTCGCCAAGTTACCCAGGCGGGTCTCGAACCAGTGGGCTCAGGCAATCCACTCACCTCAGCCTCCCAAAGGCGCGGGATTACAGGCTGAGCCACCGAGCCCGGCTCTTTTACTTATTATAAAGCAATTTTTATAGATAACTAATAACAACATTCAAGTTCATTAGATTTTTCTCTTTTTTTGAGTTGGAGTCTCACTCTGTCGCCCAGACTGGAGTGCAGTGCACTCTCCCAGCCACCGCATCCTCGACCTGCTGGGCTCTGGTGATCCTTCCGCCTCAGCCTTCCAAGTAGTCAGAACTACAGGCGCGTGCTACCATGCCCAGCTAATTTTTGATTTATTGTAGAGACAAGGTTTCACCAAGTTGCCCGGGGGGGTCTTGAACCCACAGGTTCAGGCAATCCACTCGCCTTGCCCTTCCAAAGTGCTGGGATTACAGGCTGAGCTACCAAGCCCGGCCTAGATTTTTCAAAGTACAAAGTATTTTTACCCCATATAGGAATCCTGAGGAAGTTGGTTTTTTTTTTTTTTGGGTTGGAGTCTCACTCTGTCGCCCAGACTGGAGTGGAGTGCAGTGGCCGCTCCCGGCCACTGCAGCCTTGACCTGCTGGGCTCCGGTGATCCTTCCGTCTCAGCCTTCCAAGGAGCTGGAACTACAGGCACGTGCTACCACGTCCGGCTAATTTTTTGATTTATTGTAGTGATGAGGTCTTACCAAGTTACCCAGGCGGGTCTCAAACCCGCGGGCTCAGGCAATCCACTCACCTCAGCCTCCCAAAGGTGCGGGATTACAGGCTGAGCCACAGAGCCCGGCTCTGAGGAAGTTTTAATGTGATGATTTAAATATTGTCTTAAAATGAAATAATTTCTGAATGTTAAAATCTTATTGCTTAAATGTACAAAAACATAGGGAAGTATCTTTAATATATAAAATGGCAAATCTAGCCGGGCTCGGTGGCTCAGCCTCTAATCCCGCGCCTTTGGGAGGCTGAGGTGAGTAGATTGCCTGAGCCCGCGGGTTTGAGACCCGCCTGGGCAGCAAGACCTCATCTCTACAATAAATCAAGAAATTAGCCGGGCATGGTAGCGCGCGCCTGTAGTTCCAGCTACTTGGAAGGCTGAGGCGGAAGGATCCCTGGAGCCCAGCAGGTCGAGACTGCAGTGGCCAGGAGCGGCCACTGTACTCCAGCCTGGGCAGCAGAGTGAGACTCCAACTCAATAAATAAATAAATAAATAAATAAATAAATTTTTTAAATGGCAAATCTTTTGTGATAATAGACTTGGAAATGTGTATCAATGTGTTTGGGCATAGTCTCTATATAAGACTCAGTTTTACTGTGCAAATCCAAACATACATCCAAACTCTGATGGTTCAGTTCTGCATTCAGTTATTTGCACTGTTCCTTTCTTTCTTTTCTTTCTTTTTTTTTATTTTTTGAGTTGAAGTCTCACTCCTTCACCCAGGCTGGAGTGCAGTGGCGCACTCACAGGCACTCCAGCATCAACCTACTGGGCTCTGATGATCGTTCCACCTCAGCCTTCCAACTAGCCGGAACTACAGGCACGTACTACCATGCCCAGCTTATTTTTTATTTATTGTGGAGACGAGGTCTCAACAAGTTGCCCAGGCTGGTCTCGAATTTGCACCGTTTCTGATGCATTGACTTTTCTATGTCAGTGTTTGCGCTGAGTCCTGGTTTTTATTATTGCAACAGCTTCCCATATGATCTTTCTGCTGTCAGTTGTTAATTACTCCCCAAACCGTTCTATATGCTGAACAAGATTAGTCTCCCTAAAGCATCATGTTCATTGATATTTCTTGCTTAAAACTTTTTTAGTGGCTACTCAGTTTCAGCAAGATGAGTTCCAGAGTCCATTGCTGACATTTAAAGTTTCCCAACAATGCAACCTTACCTTCTATTACTTTGAGGTGAATTAAACTGGTCATATGTTTCTTACCAAATAAACATTGTTTATTCTGCCTCCATACAATTTTTTTCTTTATTGTTTTCCTCATCAATTCTTCCCATTCTTTATTTCTGAATCCTACTTTAAGACATTGTTTGAGGCCAGGCATGGTGGCTTAAGCATATAATCCCAGTACTTTGGGAGGCCGAGGCAAAAGGATTGCCTGAGCCCAAAGGTTTGAGACCAGCCTGGGCAACTTGGCGAGACCTTGGCTCTACAATAAATAAAAAAATTAGCTAGGCTTGATAACATGTGCCTGTAGTTCCAGCTATTTGGAAGACTGAGGCAGAAGGATCACCTGAGCCCAGCAAGTCAAGGCTGCAGTGGCCATGAGTGTGCCACTGCACTCCAGCATGGGCGACAGAGTAAGACTCCAATTCAAAAAAAAAAAAAAGACATTGTTTGTTTCACATGTTTCCTTGATAAACTCTTTTGATCATTCTCAAAGTTATCCTCTTCCTGTTTTCAAATTGTCTGATACAGTGTTTATTCAGTCATTTTAACATGTATACATGTGCTAACCGGAATTATTATAATAATCTCACATATGCATATTTTATTCTCCTAAATAAATTTTGAACTCCCTGAGGGTAGAGATTTTGTTTCTTTTGTAATCCCCACCTATGTAACACCATGCTAATCAGAAAATATGATGAAAAAATTGTGGCTTATTTCTATTAAATTTGAAATTGTCATTGCATAGTTCCACTGAAAAGAAGGTGTTAACAGTTGTTCTCTTTGCAGGTTTCCTGTTTTAAATTCAATGGCTGTGTAGCTCCTATGCAGTGTTTAGGATTAACATGTTATGGCATGTTTTTACAGGTACTTTTTTAATGAAAGAAGAAAAGGAATACTTTTTGAACTGCTAACAAGTAGAACATGTAATCTCTCTTTCCATAGGTTAATACAAGTTATAATAATCTTAAATAGAGCAAAATAGTCTTTAGCCAGTGTAAAGACTAGAAATATTGTGGGGTGGTGTATGTATGTGTGTGTGTATGCACATGTGTGTGTGTGTATGCACATGTGTGTGTGTATATATACATGTGTGCATATGTGTGTGTGTGTATATATGTGTATATATATATATATATAGAGAGAGAGAGAGAGAGAGAGAGAGAGATTAAAGTCTTGGCCTAATTATTCAAGGTATGATTTTAGAAATCAATTGTATTATTTCAAGAACATTTCTGACTAATCTTTTATTGTAAGCAAAAAAGCCAATAATAACTAACATTTATTGGGAACTTACTATGTGCCAGACACTGTTCTAAACAGTGTACATGTGTTAGATAACTTAAAACTAGCAACCTTGGCCGGGTCAGTGGCTCAGCCTGTAATCCCGCATTTTGGGAGGCCGAGGTGAGTGAATTGTCTGAGCCTGTGGGTTTGAGACCCGCCTGGGCAACTTGGCGAGACCTCATCTCTACAATAAATCAAAAACTAGCCGGGCGTGGTAGTGCGCATCTGAGGTTCCAGCTACTTGAAAGGCTGAGGCGGAAGGATCGCCGGAGCCCAGCAGGTCAAGGCTGTGATGGCCAGGAGCGTGCCACTGCCCTCCAACCTGGGCAAAAGAGTGAGACTCCAACGCAAAAAAAAAAACAAAACTAGCGACCTTGTGAAGTAGGCACTATACCTAGAAGAATCTTGCTCTATAGCTTAGCCTATTGGCCACCAACTCCTACACACCAGGACTTCAAGGACCTAAGCCCTCCTCCTAGCCTTCTTCCAAGACATACTTTAGCTTCTTTAATTTTTTTTTTGCTTGTTTATTTCTTTCTTTGGGACATGTAATACATACACATGTATTCATGTACAATTCCAAGAGTACAAAATATATAAAGTAAAAATTAAGTTTTCCTCCTCATTCATGGAATTCCCTTCACTAGAAATAATCGCTGTTACTACTTTGTTGTATGTCCTTCCAGAAGGAATAAGATTAATCTTTTTTTTTTTTTAAATAGAAGCAGGGCCTTGCTATGTTGCCCAGGCTATGTTGCCTCAAACTCCTAGCCTCAAGAAATCCTCCCAGCTTGGCCTCTCAAAGTGCTGGGATTACAGGTGTGAGCCACTGCATCTGGCTGAGATTAATTTTTGAATTACTGAAATCCAGTTAACTATTTTAAGGAGAATTTATATGGTTAGTCAACCCTTCAAAATCTTAATCTAATTGAAGTTATATAACATTTGAATCTCCTTTTCATATGTTTGTGCATTCTATATTCAAAGTTAAATATGAAATTTTTGTTCTAATAAAAGTTTTTGTTTACTCACATTCAAAAGTCATAAATATATGCTTAGAATTGTCACATTAAAATGTGATCATTATCATTTATAAACAATATCATAAGTGACAGCTGGGGTTGTCAAAGGGTTCTATTGTAGTCTTTTTTTTTCCTGAGTCAGAGTATCACTCTGTCACCCAGGCTGAAGTGCAGTGGCATGCTCTCGGCCACCACAGCCTTGACCTGCTGGGCTCAGGCGATCCTTTCACTTCAGCCTTACAAGTAGCTAGAACTTCAGGTGCACACCACCATGCCTGGCTAAATTATTTATTTATTTATTTATTTATTTATTTATTTATTTATTTATTTATTTATTGTAGAGACGAGGTCACAGGCTGGTCTTGAACCCCTGGGTTCAGGCAATCCTCTCACCTCGGCCTTCCAAAGTTCTGAGCTTATAGGCATGAGCCACTATACCCAGTCTACTATAGTCTTAAAATCAAGACACAGTGTGGCTGTTAGTCAGATTGTAAAACTGCATTCTAGGGTTTTGACCTTACTTTGTTATTTCCTTTATATTGCCAAAATTCAGGAGTCAGTACCATTTAAAATTTCTCAAAAACAAACAAAAAATTCTCTACTCTGCATTCCAGTCTAGGCAACATAACTCTATCTCATCTCTTAAAAAAAAATTATCGGGTAACTACTACAGTTTCCCTCCCACTGTGGGAAGTTTTCTGTCCTCTCAATAAATCCTGCTTTCTCACTTTAAAAAAAAAAATCTCTGAAAAGACACTTTTTTTTCCAACCAAAAAGAAACTGGATTTTGTTTCATTTTCAGATTTTTTAATGTAAAATTCTTATTAATTTGATAGTTCCATTGCGGATAAAAATTGCATGTCATCTTGATCATGTTATACACATAAGGCAGTAGTGACTTATGCTTTGATTTGAAGGTCTGAACATCTTCAATGTTTCCTTTATTTTATTTTCCTTAGACCTTAACAGCAGGTTGGGATGAACTTGAGTGCCATCGTGTTTTTAATTTCTTATGTGAGCTGACCAGTCTCTCCCGCAAGGTGCAGACTGTTGTCTGCGGCAAACCAGGTAAAGAACTACAATTTGCGGATAATATTATACAGATTAAGATAGAAAAAAAGCAGAGTTCAAAAGTGTATTTAAAAATAAGTTGTGACATACATATCTAGTAAAAGGACAAAGAAATATAAGGGCGTGATCAACGCTGGGGATAATTGAGGCAGAAAGTAGTGTGCCACTGGGGAAAGGGAAGTATTCAGAGGGTTTCAACTGTATTGATAATATTTTATTCCTTAAGCCAGGTGGTAGATAAGACGAACCTCATTATAGTATTCTTTAAACCTTTCTATGCACCAGAAATAGTCCATCTTTTAAAAATTATAGAACCTTACCTCATCAACAAGGGTACCTGCATAATCAACGTTTGTATACCTAACCCTGAATTGTACCCCCACATCTTTATTTTTTTAAAATTATATGACCTTAAATCTAGCAATTTTGCTCTAAGAAACTTACAATGTGCACAAGGAGACATGTATAAGAATAGTCACTACAGTATTTTTTGTAACCATGAAAAGCTGCAAATGACCTAAATGCCTATTATCAGGAGAACAGGTAAATAAATAATGGTATTTTCATACAATTAAAAACATCAGTCGTTAAAATAAATGAACTATCCATATTAATATGGATAAATCTTAAAACATAATTTGAATTTTAAAAAGTCACCAAGGAATAGTATGACACTATTTATATACATATTAAAGACTTGCAAAACAATTCTATTTATTCATTATAGTTACACATATGCAAAAAGCTTATGAAAATAGGTGGTGTGATGATTAATTTTGTATGTCAGCATGACTAGGCCATGGTGCTCAGATATTTGATCAAACATTATTCTAGGTGTTTCTGTGAAGGTATTTTTTCAATGAGCTTAACTTAAGTCAGTAGATTTTGAAGAAAACTGATTACCTTCCATAACACGGGTGAGCCCCAGCCAATCAGTTGAAAGCCTTGATAGAAAAAAACTGACCTCCCCAAGCAAGAGGTAATTCTGCCAGCAGGCTGCCTTTGGATTCAAAGTGCGCTCTTCCCTGGATTCAGCCTGTCGGCCTACCTTGTGGATTTTGGACTTAACCAAGCTTCCACAATCGCATGATCCAATTCCTTATAATAAATCTCTATCTTCTCTCCAATCATGTTTCTTCTGTTTCTCTAGAGAACCCTGACCAATACAGGAGGGACAAAAACCAAATTCATAGTCAGGTGTGATGGTGCGTGCTTGCAGTCCTAGCTACCTGAAAGGCTGAAACGGGAGGATCACCTGAACTCAGGAGGTTGAGGCTACAGTGAGCCGTGATTGTGGCACTGCACTCTAGCCTGGGTAACAGAGTGAGACCCTGTCTCAAAAAAAAAAAAAAAAATTCCTCTGGCGAGGAAGGGGAGAGAAATTGGAAGTGATATTTAAGAAACTTTAACTGAGCCGGACTCAGTGGCTCAGCCTGTAATCCTGCGCCTTTGGGAGGCTGAGGTGAGTGGATTGCCTGAGCCCGCAGATTTGAGACCCGCCTGGACAACTTGGCAAGACCTCATCTCTACAATGAATCAAAAAAATTAGCCGGGCATGGTAGCATGTGCCTGTAGTTCCAGCTACTTGGAAGGCTGAGGCGGAAGGATAGCCAGAGCCCAGCAGATCGAGGCTGTGGTGGCTGGGAGCGGCCACTGCACTCCAGTCTGGGCGACAGAGTGAGACTGCAACTCAAAAAAAAACCAAAAGAAACTTTAACTGTATCTATAATATTTATTTTCTAAAAATCTGAAACAAATAGTAAAGCTTAGCAAAGCTAGGTGATTAGTGCACAGTATTTGTTATTGTGTAGATAAAATAAAATAACACCTTGAAATATTTCATTATAAGACAAATTATGGATCAAAAAGACAGATTTAGAACCTCAGTGATCAACCTGTAATCCCAGCACTTTGGGAGGCCTAGACAAGAGGATTGCCTGAGCTCACGGGTTCAAGACCAGCCTGCAACTTGGTGAGACCTCGTCTCTACAATAAATCACAAAAAAATTAGCCAGGCGTGGTGTTGTGCATCTGTAGTTCTAGCTACTTGTAAGGCTGAGGTGGAAGAATTGCCTAAGCCCAGTAGATCGAGGCTGCGGCAGCTGTGAGCATGCCACTGCATTCCAGCCTGGGCAACAGAGTGAGACTCCAACTTTAAAAAAAAAAAAAAAAGAAGCTCAGTGAAAGCCAGGCATGATGGCACACACCTATAGTCCCAGCTACTTGAGAGGCTGAGGCAGAAGGATTGTCTGAGCCCAGGAGGTCAAGACTGCAGTGAGCCATGATCATGCTACTGAATTCCAGCCTGGGCGACAGAGTGAAACCCCTGACTCAAAAAAAAAAAAAAAAGAAAAAGAAAAGAAACAAAGAAAAAATAGATATCCAATGCAATAATAACAAAATTAATTTATGTCCTTTCCTTGATCAAAAACTTTTATTAGCTCTCTGATGTCTTCAAAATAAGGTCTAAATTATTTATTTATATGGACCTTCACATTCTAGTCCCAACCTACTTTTTCAGACTTATTGCACACTACTCTCTGTATTTAACATAAGCATATTGTTCTACTTACTGTGTCTCACACATCCCTTACAATTTATTTTCTTTTTTTGAGTTGGAGTCTCACTCTGTCACCCAGACTGGAGTGCAGTGGCCGCTCCCGGCCACTGCAGCCTCGACTTGCTGGGCTCCGGCGATCCTTCTGCCTCAGCCTTCCGAGTAGCCGGACAGGCATGCGCTACCACGCCTGGCTGATTTTTTTTTTTGATTTATTGTAGAAATGAGGTCTTGCTGCCCAGGCGGGTCTTGAACCCGCGGGCTCAGGCAATCCACTCACCTCAGTCTCCCAAAGGCACGGGATTACAGGCTGAGCCACCGCGCCCGGCTACCCCTTACAATTTCTACCTCAGTACTTTGTATTCATTCTATTTAATTGTCTTGAAATACTGTCTCTCCTCTCATCCATTAATACCCAATTTGCCTGACCTCCTCTATAAAGTCTTTCCTGAACTCTCAGGCCTGCAGTAATCTTTCTTTTCTCTAAATTTCTGTTTTAGTTGGCTTGACACACTGGGGGTACTTACATATGGCCTCAGATTATTAGTAGACTTTCCATTTAAACTTGTTTTATCTAAAAGTAAGTAAAATGTGAATGGTGTAAAACTGTTAAATGATGTAGCCACTATGGAAAACAGTTTGGTATTCCTCAAAAAGTTAAACAAAATTACCGTATGACTCAGCAATTCCACTTCTTGGTATATACCTAATGGAACTGAGAGCAGGGACTTGGACAATTATTTATATATTAATGTCCACTGCAGCATCATACACAATAGCTAAAAGGTAGAAACAACCCCAGTCACCATCAACAGATGAGTGGATAAACAAAATGTGGCATATGCTCCAGCCTGGATGAATCTGAAAATACGCTCAGTGAGAGAAGTTAGGAACAAAAGGGCAAATATTGCCTGATTCTGCATATACGAGATACCTAGAACAGGCAAGTTAATAGAAAGATGTTACAGGTTACCAGGAGCTGGGATTAGGGGGAAATGGGGAGTTATTGCTTAATGGATACAGGGTTTGTGTTTGGGATGATGAAAAAGTTTTGGAAATAGACAGTGGTGACAGTTGAACAATATTGTAAATGTAATTGATGCCACTGAATTGTACACTTGAAAATGGTAGCCAGGCATAGTGGCTCACACCTGTAATCCCAGCACTTTAGGAGGTGGAGGTGAGAGGATTGCCTGAGCCCAGGGATGTGAGACCAGCTTGGGCAACTTGATGAGATCTCATATCTACAATAAATCAAAAACCTAGCCAGGTGTGGTGGCATGCTCCTATAGTTCTAGCGACTTGGAAGGCTGAGGTGGAAGGATCACCTGAGCCCAGCAGGTCAAGGCTACGGTACAGGCCATGAGCATGCCACTGCACTCCAGCCTGGGTGTCAGGGTGAGACCCCAACTCAAAAAAGAAAATGGTTAAAATGGCAAGTTTTATGTTATCTATACTTTACCACAATATAAAAAATTAATAGCGTAACATATCAAAAACCGGAAACACCTCTTATCAACAGGGTGCCTGAATGAAACGTATTTGTATACCTAACCCTTAACTGTACCCCACAACATCATAATAAAAAATATTGATTAAAAAAAATCAAAAAACATTGAACTGTACACTTTAATTCTATGATATGTGAATTTTATTTATTTATTTATTTATTTATTTTGAGTTGGAGTCTCACTCCATTGCCCAGGTTGGAGTGCAGCGACATGCTCACGGCCTTCCCACCATCAACCCTGCTGGGCTCCAGCGATCCTTCAGCCTCAGCTTTCCAAGTAGCCGGAACTATAGGCGTGTGCTACCACACTCGGCTAATTTTTTTTTTTTGAGTTGGAGTCTCACTCTGTCGCCCAGACTGGAGTGCAGTG